TTGAAGTTGTTGACTGAATTGTCTTTTTCTACATATTCTTTTACAAAAATTAGCATTTAGCTAAAGTCATAAATGTATTTGTTTTTCTTTATGTATTTATTAGCACAGTGCTCCTATCATTGTTTTGGACAATGCTAAACACTAGAAAGATGCCAGTGTTTGTACTATAGAAAATAATCTGCACAGCTGTGTATGTGAACCCTGACTACCATTCTTTTGGGACAAGTGTGCTTATGTGTTGAGGCTAAAAATCGGTGGTATGGTTGCAGTTGAAACTGAGTTCTGCCTACATTTGTTTTAATATACATGAACTTACCTTGCTGTATTATGGTGCTATTATATTGTCCAAGGCCAGAATAACAAGGAAAAATACTTTCAAGATGCTATTGGAAATGGTAGGGTTTGATTTTATACAACTTAATAAACTCTTTGGCAGGGTGGGGTACTGGGTAACTGACTAGGGTCCTACACTTGCTGGGCAAGCCCTCAGCCACTGAGCTACACCCTAACTCTTAGATAAGTGATTTTAAAATTATGTTTTTGTCTTTAAATTCCTGGAAGTAAATATATCACAATATTAGAAGACTTAAAACACAGGCTAGGATTTCGTCTACCTGAAATTAACTGTCCTGGAGTGGATCTCGGACGCAGGCAGGAGGCTTCCTATGTTGCTGAAATGGAGAGACAGCAGTGACACTGCGGGTTGGGAGATGTGGGCTTTGTATAGAGTGACACCCAGCAGGATGGAGAGCACGTAGGGATTTAAAATAGAGCCTGAAAGGATGGTCACAGGGAAAACTCCACATTGTAGAAAATGCTCTTAAAAGTAGCTGCTTCTCCTGTAATTCCGGCACTCGGGAGGCTGAGGCAGGTAGACTGCCAAAAGGCCAGCTTGAGTTACATAGTGAGACCCTGTCTCCAAAAAAACACTAGCTGCTTCTCATAAGGACAGTGCCCTATCTAGCAGGAGCGGGAAGAATTTCTAACGGCGGTTAGTAATGGTTGTGAAAAACTAGATAGGCCAGCTGGCCAATCACTAATGAATTTCTGTGTGTCTTGCTTCAAACAGGAGACTAAACAGTTTTATAAAACTGGAAATAAACATTCTAATTACCAATTCTGTTAGTTTCTCTATTCTTTCCCAAACAACATTTCACAGAATAAAGACATTTTTAAAAATAAAATCTTTGTATGGCCTTGACATCATTACTTAACAGAACATGTTTTAATTCAGTATTTCTATGGGTACTCCTTTCTTTCCTTTATTAGTCAAAGGCAGCATCCCTATACCTGACAGAAAGGGAGTACAGTGCATTTTATAAGCTCTTCATCTGCCAAGGGAGGTGGTACACACCTGTAATCCTAGCACTTGGGAGGCTGAGGCAGGAATATTACCATGAGCTCAGGGTCAACCTGGACTACATATAGTGAGTCAAAAGCTAACCTGAAATAAGTGAGACCTTGTCTCAAAATTTTTAAAAAAAAATCGGTTCTTCTTTTAGGAAATGAGGTGTTGGTGTCTGCTGACTATCTTTGTAAACACCTGTTAACGAGTGAGTGTTAGGCATTCTTCTAGCACGGTAGCGTGTTTTTTTCCTAATTTACTTATTCCTCATAATAATCGTGAAAGCCTTTTCAGATAGCTACGAGTGTTCTCATTTTACTAGTATAGAAACAGTAGTGTGGCCGAAAGTATAGTATATAGTATGGCCCAAGTTTCCACAGCCTTCTGACTCAAAGTTCATTATTCTGTTGTATATATCTCAAGAAAATGTAAGAGTCAAAGCTCTGAGGACAAACAGTAATCATTTTGTGTCAAAAAAATTAGACTCCATGACAATACCACTTCAACAGCATTCATTTAACCAGAGACTATTTATTGAATTCCGACCACTTAAAAGTACTATGTTTAAGACGCTTATTATTTGAAGTTAGTGTCCATAAACAGAAAGACCAGAGTGGTGTTTAATTCTTATGTTTATATACAGACATTCTATGAGTAACCCCAGGTCACATGCTGTGTTTACTGAGGATTAATTGCTGGAGAGGTGTATAGGGCAGTTGACACTTGAGGCAAAAAGCCTGAGAAGGCACCTAAAATGTAGGTACTCAGAGGAAGGTGGTGTTAGAATGGGTGGTTTTGCCAGAAAGGAGGTGGGAATGGACAGAGAAACTTGGCCAGAAGGAGCCACTTCATATAGACTAGTGGAAGGTACAGTAGAAATACAGCTTTGAAGCCGTTAAGTGCTAGGTAAAGGAGATGTCATTATTCTACAGGCAGTGGCTTCATCAAAGATTTGAATCCCAGAATCTGACAAGTGACACTGCTCAAGTGATACTTTATGTGCATTTATTTCCTGTTGGTGCATCAGATTTGAGAAATGGAGAGGAAGAGATCAGAGGTAAAGAGAGTAGCAAGAGGCAGTGTGTTGGTTTAGAACCGTGGAGTGATATTCCAGATGATTGAGAGGCTCTAATACCAAGAAGAAAGCTGGTCAGGACCTGACTACTGATTGTTTTGGAGAAGGGAAATCACATGAATATACAATGTATATTCTATATATCTCAGTTCACAAGCTTAATTCTTTCCACAGCTCTGGTCGCAAACCGAATTGGACGAGAATTGAATCACATTTCCCTACAAGGTCCACATTGAACCTAACCATTGAATCTGATTTGGTTCTCATCCAATTTGGTTTGTGACCAGAATCGTGGAAAGAATTAAGTTTGTGAACCGAGGCACCACTGTATCTTCATATAGGTTTATTTTATTGATAAATATAAATATGAACATATATGAACATAATCAATATGTAATGTGTACATATGAAATGCCAATAAGATAGTAGTCATAAAGCTGTTGTCTGAGCAACAGAATCCTGTGCATTGAGATTGAGAACTGGATTTGCTACTTTTAGCAATTAGAAATGTAGCACTTACTGCCTTAGCTTGGACTACCATAGCAAAATACCTGTGGACTGGGTAGCACGAACTACGGAGTACGTGGTTCTAGCAGCTGGGAAGTAAGTCCAGTATCCAAGCGTTCTGGTGAGGACCCTCTCCTGGCATTCACCGTGGCCTGCTTGGCGTTTCCTCACGTGGCAGGGAAGAGAGAGAGGGGACTCTGATCTCTTCTCATAAGGGCACTGATTTCATCAAGAGAGCCCCACTGCTATGACCTCTGTAAACTGAATTTCATACCAAAGACTCCGCCTCCAAATGCCATTACTTTAGAGGTCAGAATGAAGTAAGTATCAGAGCACCACACCTCACTCCTTACTCTTACTTTTTCACCTCCGTTTCTTTGGATTATACTATTCTTGGAGGTCACTGCTGTCCTGAATTTGTTTATTGTACACAGTTTTTTTTAACTTTGACTTTGTGCATCTAACTACCTTTCATACAATTTTCTGTTTCAAAGCTTAAAAAGTATACTGTCTGTTTTACTCTGTAACTTGCCTTTTCTTTGTAATATTTTGAGATAGTATCCATGTACATGCAGGTCAAATGTTCTGTAGTATTCCCTTATATGAATGATACAGTCTATCTGTCTTCCTGTACATAAACATTTAGGTTGTTTCTCACTTTTTATTACAACTGTTCTGGCAGTGGACATGTCATCTTGTGTACATACAAGAATTTCTCTGGGGTGTTATGTAAGAGGATAGCACACTTAGGCTAGGTTGTAGGATACTAAATATTTTCAACTTATTTTCCCAGTTTCCACTGCACCCTGGCATGTAGGTCAACATTTGGCATTATACGAGTTTTAAGACTTATTTTTGACCATGTTAAGGTTGTGAAATGGTATTTTGCTTTAGCTTTAATATGAATTTCTGAGTTGCTGTTGAGATTATACAAAGGCTGTATGAATTCTCTCTTTTGAATTGACTGATAATACTTTTTTGCCCACTTTTCTATAGGTTATGCTTGTCATATTGACTTATACTTCAGATATCTCAGGTTAGATTTTAACCTTTGGTTAACTCTGTAATCAGTCCTTTAGGAGTCTCATAAAATGTTGTCAGTAGCATTCTAGGCATCACTTTATAGTAAGAACGACTCCTGATTGGTAAACTGCATCTTTTTAAAAAATTGCTTTATTGACCAATTCTCTTTGTTTGATAACCGCTTTTTACGGTGCTACTTGACATCAAAGTCATGGTATCTTCAGTCTGTGGGAGGCAGTACAGTACAGTACAGTGCTGTGGCTTTCAAACTCTTGTTCTTAGGTCTGTTTTACACTCCTAAAAATCATTGAGAACTCCAAAGAACTAGGTAAACTGTATCTTGGTAAGAGGGTAAATGGGATGTAAATACCTCCTGGAAGAGCCCTAGTCTCGGGCTCCCCTGACATTTGGAAGTGAGTGTCCCCTTCAGAGGGAGTTCAGAAGCTTTCCTTGTAAACTTGTTAAGAAAATAGGGTTTCCTGGGGAAGTTTCTACAGGGGCAGCCCCTGCAGTGGACCTTGTCCCCCCCAGCTCAGCTGCTGCTTGTGGAGGACGCATGGCCCAGTGCAAGGGCCTACACACAGAGCCGCGCCTCGTGCCCGCTGGCTGGCAGGCCTCCTTCCTGTGCCGTGTCACCTGTGATGGCGTTTTGAGTGTGAATGTCTCCTTGCATTGGAGAAAGTTCCTTACAGCTCTGGTGGCGCTGAAGATCATCTGAAAAATTCCTAAAGAACTAACTTCCAGGCTTGTACTCTAACTCAGTGATAGAGCACTTGCCCAGCCTGTGCAGAGGCATGGATTCCACCGCAAGCCAGCAAGCCAAAAAAAAAAGCTTCTCATCTATATTAGGCATCCATGAAATGTTTTAAAATTTCACATAGTGGATTTTGAAATACAACTTCTACATCCTGACTGCACAGTCCCAGTCCTCAGTAATGGACTCATTTAGAAGAAAAGCAGAGAATCATCATCTACGCTTGCGTTGCTCTGTGATAAGTTGTACAAAACGAAGAGATAGCTAACAAGACATTTGTAGTTTTTCTGCCATGCTCTGATTCTTTTTTTCATTTTATTGTTTTTGATTCATAGAAGTGATGGACTTAAGCCAGTAGGGCTCAACGGATGGCTCGTAGACCCCTGTTGGAATATATACATCTTAGGCAAGTGGTGTGATCTCTCTTTTCAGGTTGGCCATCAATGTATTATCTTCTTCTTTTTTTCCTTGATTTTTCTTACTGTTGCAGGTTTGGAAAAACACAGTAAAAGCATTCATCATGGAATTGTTACATTACATACACTGTATCTTAGTCCTTTTTACTTCCTATTTTTACATGTATATGAAATTCTGTTTCTCCAAGGTTATGTGATTTGATAGAAAGATAGTATTTTATATGTGAAAGATCTTTTACCTATATTTTAGGAACATACTTTTTTATGCAGTAAAGAAATCTATACATTGTTCTGTATCATATAAAAATGTGAACATAAATATATGGTAATTTTAGTCAGAGAAATTCAATTTGACTCCTTCTTAAAAATCATTTTTTCACTGGGCATGGTGGCACATGCCTGTAATCCCAGCACTCAGAAGGTTGAGGCAGGAAGATCATTGCGACTTCGAGGCCAGCCTGAGCAACAAAGTGAGCTCAAGGCCAGCCTGAACTGCATAGTGAGACCCTGTCTCAAAAAAACACAATCATTTTTGCTGTTTTTAAGTTGTATAGCTCAGTGGCATATGGTACATTCATGCTGTTGTGCAGTCATTATCACTATCCGCCTTCAGAACTGTCATCTTCCCAACCTGAAGCTCTGTCCCATTAAAAAATCATCCTCCAGGCACATTCCAGGCCCTGGCAGCTGCCACTCTACCTTCTCTCTACTGTTTATGAACTGACTATCCTAGATAACTCATATGAGTAGAGTATTTGTTACTGGCTTATTATAGTATGTATCAGAATTTTTTTCTTTTGAAGATTGAGTAATATTCCATTTTGTATTAGAAACCAAACACAGTTAATGAATAGGTGCCATCTGTTATGATTACCTATTCATCTGTAAATGGGCACTAGGGATGCTTCTACCTTTTGGTTATTGGATATACTGCTGCTGTGAACAGGGTATGTAATTATCAAGTTCCCTGTTTTCATGGGGAAAGAGTTATATAGCCACCCAATTTGACTTTTGTGTAGATTTTTACATGTATCTTTGCATTATTTCTAATAATTTGCTTAAAAAGTCTGACCCTTAGGTAATCTTGGGTGGGATTTACAAAGTTGAGATCTTGAAGTCAGTAAGAATTTGACCCTTGATTTTTAGAACAAAAGGAAAACTAAAAATAGAAATCAGGTGTACCTTAGAAATAGTACTGGAAAACAAAAACATGGCTCTTTTGTGAAGAAGGATTATATTGTAAAGATAAGAGTGAGAACTGTGCTTGCTCACTACTTCACTGCCTACACAGAAAGAACAAGAAGCAAAGCTGCGCCTGCAGCACCCTCCTCAGGCCGCCTTCCCTCTGCTCACAGCCGCTACCGCCTGTTTTTAATCCTCCTGTAGCACTCTGTCTCCTGCCCTCTTCTCCCTGTCCCCCACAAGTCATCTAAACCTATTGCTGAGTTGCATGTTGCTCTTATCAAGAGGCCTGGCTTGCACCTCAGCATGGTCACTTGTGCCTCTGTGTCCCTCCTCCAGCAGTCCAAGACACACCGCAGTTTGGGCTGTGGCTCAAGGAACTGCAGTGAGTATCCCTCATGTAGTGGTTGATTGATGGCATCGACTTGAGAAGTTTAGAAGCTTACCTAAAATTGGCTCAGCAGTTGTACACCCTTAAACCGTCACCTGGGCGGTATAAAAGGGAAATGAGGAAGGACGGACGGGCTTCCGTTGCTTGGAGGAGCTCCAGTCTTTGCCTTCAGCTTGGAGGTCATCTTCTGGCTTCCAGGGCGGACTCTTCGGCTGCTCCCTTGGATCCTAAAGCTTTCCAGCGTAAACTCGTCAGCCTTCTGTCACAGACCCATCAGCCTCCTCATACGGACTCGCACAGACACTGCAGTGAGCTCCAGACCTTGGACTGAATCCTTTAGTCTCCAGTGTGCGACACCCTCTGCACGCTTCCTCATCTGACTCTGTGGGTGACCATCATAAGCCAGTCAGCCGAGGAATGCATAAAAAAGATACAGTATTTTTATACAATGGAGTATTACTGAGCTATAAAAAAGATAAATTCCAGGCTTTTATAAGTAAATGGATGCAACCGAGGACCATACTCATAAGAAGTAAACCCGACCTGCATGTGTAAACATCATATTGTCTCCCTAGTGTAAGAACCTGAAAGAGTAAATAAAACCTGAAAGGTACAGTAGACATTGTGAGAGGGAAGGACACTGCTCAGTCTCACAATTTCTTACACATTTGTATAGCTTGTGTTATGTCTGTAGCTCCAGTAAGAAGCCACCTGATACGCCTGGCTCCCTTCTCCCGTGTCAGGAACCAGTTACCACTCTTCCTGTTCTCTCTACTCCATGCGAAAGTGCTTTAACATGTATAGGGTTTTAAAAATCGTGTGGTTCCTATGATAGGACCAGAAGGTCGGGCATACTAATTGTCCTGGTTACGTGCTTGGTCCTTGAATTTGCATGGAAGTTTATATATGTATCACGGTGTTTAAGGAAGCAGGGCGGTTTCGGGGTTTGAAACCCAGCCCTGACATTGTACGACAGGGAGTGATGCACATGCCTGCTTCATGGGGTTGTTCATGTGCATCAGGCGCCTTACGCTAGGCGTGGCGCTCGCTAAGCTCTCAGTGAAGAGTGGCTATGACGGTTAATTGAGGCCTTAATATTTTAGAAGGCGTGAGTGTGAATGCTTGCTTATTTCTTTTACTGTTCTCATTTTCATAATACCTGCTATATACGTCGGTGTTTTTGAATTGTAACAGTGTCGTATGTGTTGCTCACCTGAGATGCAAGCTTCTCTGAGATGTTTTTCCTGCCCATCACAGTCACAGTTAGCCAGTTCCCCGCTTCTCCCCCTCATGTGGAACCGGCATACGATGTTGGCATTTCTTAATTTTGTTCTGTAAAAGCACATTGAAGCGAAGGATGAGATACTTCGAAGATTCACTTTTTATGTAATATACTATTTTATCTTAGTCTTCACCTGTCATAGGGACCCAGACAGTGTGGCGTCTCCCAGTAAAACGTCTGTTTCAATAATTGTAGAGATTCCTTTCTTTTTTAATAAGCTCTTTGTGAGTACTTTTAGTCGTTACTTGTTTTTAGCTGTAGATTTCTTTAAAGCATCGAACATATACAGGCCCCTCATCTTCGTTCAGCTCTACCCTGTTTAGAGTTAAAACCCGTTGGGAAGTACCAGGTCCAAGAAATAATACTTTCGAGATGTTAAGACTTACTTCCACTCTGTGAGCATGTATTCTTGCATTGTTAATGTCTAAGCTACCGGGTAATTGATGTTAATTTGATTTTGCTTTAGATAATTTTGTTCCAGAGGGCTGTGATTCTGTGTTTCCTGGTAGAGGTGTTGAGTGCAGGGGTGAGTTAGAAGAGGTGTTTTCTATCACTGTCTTCATGGTTTAGCTTTGGCACACACCTCTGATTAATAAACCTATGTTTAACGCCATATCAGGGAACAAGTGAATTTCTTCTGTATTCGTGTTAATTTCTGTTTGCACATGGCCAAGCGATTTCCATAGGACTTTTTGCAGTTTGTAATAGAAGTGAGTAGTACAAGGGTTAAGGGTTTCATTGAGTGCTTATTAATTTTTACTTTGATATATTCTTTAGACACTAAAGTTTGGGAATCAGTGTCTGAGACTCTGCTGTTACTATTTTTGTATATTTAAATCATAGTTTTAATGACCAGAGTTTATATAATTCATCTAAAATTCTACAAATTGACATTTTTCTCATACAGTAATTTTTCTGTAAAACCCTTCACTGTTCTCTATGGTAAAATGTTGTTAAAATACAATAAAATCGTGACTACCATCCAATTCAAGTTTACATTATGTACCAGAGTATCTTAATATGTCCTATGGTTCTGCTGTAGGGGACACAAAGATAAGTCATCACAGACCGACTTCAGAGAGTTCACGTCAGTGCCAGCGTGCTTTCGTGTCTGTAATATGTTAGGGCAGAATAAACACAGAGGTAGCAGCGACAGTGACGTAACAAGAATTGAGTCGTTTTTCACTTTCGAGTCCTTACTCTCTGCTGCACTGCTGGGCAGACTGTAGGTTGAGGGACAAGCGCTGCCACAGTCAGCTGATGGGTTCTGGGGACCGAGGAGACGGGGAGGAGCTTGCTTGTATGAAGAACTGAAGGAGATTTCTGCGGAAGCGGCGGTGGAGATGACTAACCGCTGTGGGTCATTGCGATGTCAACAGGCAGAGAAAGGATGGGAAAAATCGTCAGAGTGGGACAGGTAGAAAGTGTGTGCAATGGGCCAACCCAAGTCAGAAAACACTACAGGCTGCAGATTGATCAGAACTCAGACCATAGAGCTAGGGAAATACTTGGTGGGCGCAGCTAGAAAACTGGGTAGATTGCACCAAGCCCCTGAATACCAGATCCCTATTTCATTTCACAGAGAGTGAGAATAGGAGAAAAGGAGAAACAACATTTATTGAGTCCCTGCTACATGTTAAGAACTTTGACAGTTACTGTGACATTACATTTAATCAAGTCAGTATTGTATCCCTGTGTTAAATATGCGAAAACCAGTCTGACTGTGTGAGGGCGAGGCTTGCTGTGGGGAGGAGCTGGAGGTAGGTTTGAGGACTGAGAGAGAAAAAGAGTTAAAAGCAGTTTGTGGGGCAACTAATGAAATGGCAAGGAGACACAGGAGGAGGGTGTTCCTTTGAGTGGCGAGGAGTTCTGTTCTAGACACATCCAGGTGGGGATGTCCAGGAGAGGTGGAAAGTGGACCCGGAGCTAAGGTGACGTCTGGAAGCTGAGAGGGTGAATTGGGTCTCATGTACATAGATGTGATCACTGAAACTGCATCAACAATAAAATTTCAACAAGTGACAGAAAAGGGATGTCTTCAAGAAATGCTCTTCGTTTGGGAGGCCTAGGAGGGGCCTCTGTGGCAGAGAGAGGTGGACATAAACACAGGTCAGTGGAGAAGTGTGCTGTCATTGAAGCTGGAAGACAGTGGCAGAAGTGTTCTGAGGGAGGCGGATTGTGCGATGACCAAGCGTAGGGAGAAACTGGTGTGGTCTCCGGGGCGGCGTGTTTGGAAAGGCAGGGGCCGTCATGTGACTGAAGCCTGCTACTTGGCTCAGGGTTAGCAGAGAACAGAAGATGTCCGTGACCTGCCCTCCTTGTCAGTCCTCCCACATGCTGCTTTTCTTCCCGGTGCTACTGTATCTTTTCCTTATTTATCTTATTTATTATCTCTCTTTAGAGCGTTAGGTCAGGAGGGCAAAGATGTTTATCTGATTGACGGCCTGCTATTTCCAGTACCTGTAACACTGTCCCATAGTAAGGACTTCAATGAATAATTGATGAATAAATTCATGGAAATTACAATGATCTGAGTAGCCACGCTTCCTCTCTCAGTATACTATGAACTTATTACATGATTGTATCCTAGCAGTGCTTTGGCAAACTGGAGCTGTTACATGTTTTATTTACATCGGTATCAGGATAGTAGTAGAGATTTTGATTCAGTTGGTCTGAGCTTAAGTTTCTGTTCTGGCTAATTTGACCCTAATTAAACTTCCAAACCCCTCTCTAAGCCTCATTCTCCTGCCGAGAGGATTGAAGAAGTAGCATGTGTTAGAACGGGTGGCATTGCATGTACACCGGCATTGCATAAACACTGGTGTTTCGATCTTTCTGTTGTGTAAACTGAACTAAGTTACTTAATTATACTGAATCTCAGTTTTTTCATCTCTGAAAGGGAAAGATTAATCTTATTTGCTGTTTGAAGGAGCTCGCTGGCTGGCATGTTGCCTACACACATGAAGATCAGAAGCACTACCACTCTCTGTCCTTTCTGTGTAGTGCACATGCTTGAAGCAGACTACATGAAATCAAATCCTGACCCTTAGTCTTACTTTTTATCCACTCCCTTAGTCTGTTAAATGGCTTAGTCTGTTAAATGGTTTTCACTTGTTGTAATCCAAGGATGACTTGTTTATTGTTATTAATTAAGTTTATTGGTGTATTTTAGGTGTACATAATAATATCATAGGGGATTTGTACCTGTCCATGCTATAACTTGATTCTTCTTTTTTCCCCATTCCTCTACCCTCCCTTCAACCCTTCTTAGTTTCAAAAGCTTTGCCTCCTTTTTTTCCCTTCTCTCATTTCTTTTTCTTTCCCTTCCTTTTCCCCTCGGGGTGACTTATTTATGAATAGGGCCCCTTTCTAATGAAGTTGTTCACCCTTAAAGGGGAAAATATAATAAAGCAACAAAAAGCAATAAAGTCCCCTGTCATGGTCTGACCTGGCTAAAGGAGCTGTGGCCTTGGCTCATCCACGGAGCAATGGAAAGGGCACTCTGGCTGTGCTCTGCTCCGTGCTCTGCTCCGTGTTCTCCTCCTTGCTTTGGTCCGTGTTCTGGTCTGTGCTCTGCTCCGTGTTCTCCTCCTTGCTTTGTCCGTGCTCTGGTCTGTGTTCTGCTCCGTATCCACTCAGCAGCAGTGGTGCCCTGGTTTGGGTCTTGTGTCTAGAAAATCTTTTGTCCTTGGAAACTTGCCTCCATTTCCCTGCCCCCTGTTCTGCCAGCTGGTCTCCAGGAGTGGTTGGGGACGTAGTATGAGTGGAAACCTGGGAGAATCAGCAAAATTGAAGGAACAGGTGGTGAATAGCTGGCCAGTCTGGAAATCTTCCCCTCTGGAAGGGGGAGGTTTTCTTTACTAGAAAATCCTTTTTCTAACAAAACTCTACAATGTACTCCTTGTTTCCCTGAATTCTCCAGGCCTATCAAGGGTAAGAGCTCTGTATGTAAAGAACTACGGAGCTGGTTACCTCACTGAGACTTGGCTGGATGTTTATTCATGTCTAAAGCAGGCTTAGAAAGGTAGCTGCTTCAGATCAGCAGATTCAGTTTCCATTCTTGTAGCAAGCTACTGTTGCAAAATCTGTAGTGTGTAGTGACATCCTCTTTCCATTAGCAGAGGTCCTACAGAATCTACTCTACATAATTCATGGCCACCCCAAATCTCTCCCCCACCCTCACCCTGTGCTGGCATGCTAAGCAGCTTCAGCTCGGTGCCAGCTCCTATTGATTATACTGATCGCCTGGAGTGCTGTGTTGAGGAGAACTGAGAGGCCACATACAGGCTTCCAAGTGATTAATTAGCAAAGTCTGCTGTGCTAGGGGAGAGGAGGTGACTGCAGCATATGTGTCGTGCGTTTCCTGAACTTTCCGGATTCCATGATGAGGCTCAACCTTGAAGTCTCATTTCATGTCTGTATTTTTGTCTTCTAATTGGTATATCTATCACTTTATTCTGTAGTAAAATAGAAGTAAGTTAGGATCGTTTTTTAGCTTAGCTTATATAAGAATTACCTATGTTTGTTTTTTATTGTTTGCTTAAGAAAATTTTTCTATTCTTTGTTCTCAAATTAATAAATGGTTCTCCAAGCTTTTATGAATTTCTCTTGCTTAGCTGATCTGTAGTTCTTATCCTCTGTTTTGTAAATTTGGCCTATAATAATAATATTAAATTCTGGGATATTTTCACTTCTTGAAATGTTGATAAATTAACATAACCACTTGAAACTTGAGCACACAGCAGGTAGTGGTAAGGGACTTGGAGCTTGTAATCATCGTAGGTACAATTCATGTATCTCATCCTTTAGCTTCTCTTTTTATGGGCCACAGGTAAACTTCAGGCTTACTTCTGAACTGCGGAGATACTTACTCTGTTTTGTTGTGCTGTGTTGCATTGTGTTCTTGTGAATCAGAAAGTAAATCTTCCCTGCTCTAGCAGGAGACAAGGAACACTTTGAGGCAGATTGAGGCAAAAATAAAGATGTTGAAACTGTAGGCAAAGCTTTGAATAACAGGATGTTTTTGACATTTTCTGCCTAAAGAATGTATAGATTAGACTTTTACAATATGATTAAAATTTGCCTTTTAAAATGTTTAGTCCTGTTTCTTCGTGTGAGAAGTGTGTGTTCATTTCAGATGCTCATTTTAGGATTGGATCTTTACATTTGGGAGGTCTGATTTTTTTTTTTTTTTGAGTTCTTTATATGTTCTCGATAGTAATCCTTTGTCTGAGGAGCAGCTGGCAAGCATTTTTCCCAAATTGTGGGTTGTCTCTTCACTCTGTTGGTGGTTTCTCTTGCAGTGCAAAAGCTTTTAATAAGATGAAATCCCAGTTGTTGACTCTTTGTGATAGTTCCCGTGAGATCAGGGTTTTATTCATAAAATCTTTGCCTATACCAGTGTCTTCAAGAGTTTTACCTGTTCTATTTTCCAGCATATATAATGGTTCTGTTTTAATATTTAGATCTTTGATCCATTTTAAATTTAGTTTAGTGCATGGTGAAAGACATGGATCCAAATTTAATCTTTGGCATGTGCAGTCAGTTATTCCAGCACCATTTATTAAAGAGGCTATCTTTATTCTAGTGAATGTGTTTGGCACCTTTGTCAAAGATAACGTGGCTAAGTATGTCTGGAGTTGTTTCTGCATCTTCTAATCTGTTCCATTGATCATCATATTTTTTTTATTTGTTTTGGGTTTTTTTGTTGTTGCTGTTCTGGTTTTTGTTTGTTTGGTTTTTTGTTTCATTTTGTTTTGGGGTTTTTTTTTGCTGGTACCACACTGTTTTTATCACAGTAGCTTAATAGTATAATTTCAAGTCAGGGGTTGTGATGCCCCCTCCCTTGCCTTTGTTGCCCAGGATTGCCTTTGCTATTCCAGGTCTCTTCTGGTTCCAAATGAATTTTAGGATTCTTTTCTCTAATTCTGTAAGATATGCTCTTGGAATTTTGATCGGAATTGCATTAAATCTGCATAACAGTTTTGGAAGTATGGCCATTTTCACTATATTGTTTCTTCCTACCCAAGAGCAAAGGATATCTTTGCATTTTCTGATCGCTGCTTCAGTCTCCAGTACTGTACTATAGTTTTTGATGTACAGGTCTTTTACATCCTTTGTTAGATTGATTCCTAGGTATTTCATTTTGGGGGATGCTATTGTGAAAGGTGTTTCTCTAATCTCTCTCAGTGAGTTTGTTGTTCATGTACAGGAAGGCTGTTGATTTTTGAGTGCTGACTTTGTATCCAGCTATGCTACTGAATTTGCTTATTAAATCTTGCAATTTGTTATTGGAGTTTTTGGGGTCTTCTATGTAGAATATCATGTCATTTGCAAATAATGATAATTTAACTTCTTTCCTATGATTATTCCTTTTTTTCTTTGTCTTGTCTAATTGCTCTGGCTAAAGTTTCCAGAACTATGTTGAATAAGAGTAGAGACAGTGGACATCCTGGTCTTGTTCATGATTTTAAAGAGATAGCTTTCAGTTTTAGTCCATTTAGTATGATGTTGGTTGTTGGTTTATCATAGATGGCTTTGATCAGATTAAAATAAAGACCATCTATCTATTCCAATTATCTGTAGGTTTTTTTTTTTTATTATGAATGGGTGTTGAACTTTGTCAAAAGCTTTTTCTGCATCTATTGAGATGGTCATGTGAGTTTTGTCCTTGGCTCTGTTAATATGATGTATTGCATTTATTGATTTACATATGTTGAACTATCCCTGAGGTGAATCCCACTTGATCATGGTGTATAATATTATTGAGGATTTTCTACATTCTGTTCGCCAGTATCTTATTGAGGATTTTTGCATCTATGTTCATTAGGGAGATTGGCCTGTAGTTCTCTTCCTTAGTTGGGTCCTTCTTCAGTTTTGATATCAGGGTAATGCTTGCTTCCAGGAATAAATTTGGGAGTATTGCTTCCCTTTCAATTTCATTAAAGAATTTGAGAAGTACTGGTGTTAGGTCTTCTCTAAACTTTTTATAGAATTTAGCAGTGAATCCATCAGGGACTGGGCTTTTCTTTATTGGTAGGTTTTTAATTACATCTTGTATTTCATTGATTGATATTGGTTTATTTAGGATTTTTATATCTTTTGATTCAGCATTGGTAATTTATATGTATTGAGAAATCTGTCCATTTCATCTGCATTTTCCATCTTATTAAGGTACAGGTTTTCAAAATGTAGATGATTTTCTGGATTTCTGCAAGGTCCATTGTGATTTCACCCTTTTCATTCCTAATTGCATGGATTTGAATCTTTTCTTTTCTTCCCTTTTTTGATAAGGTTGGGTAAAGGTTTGTCGATTTTATTTAATCTTTCAAACAACCAACTCAATTCATTGATTCTTTCTATTGTTTTTTTAGTCTCCAATGCATTAATTTCTGCTCTGATCTTTACAATTTATAAGCTCTCCTAAGAGCTTTTGGCTTAGTCTGCTCTTCTTGTTCTAGAAGTTTGAGGATTACCTTTAAGTTACTTACTTGTGCTTACTCTGTTTTCCTGATATGGGTATTGACTGCTATAAATTTCCCTCTTAAGACTGCTTTCATTGTGTCCCGTAAGTTCCAGTATGTTGTATTGTCATTACCATTTAATTGTAGAAACTGTCTAATTTCTTTTTTAATTTCATCTGTGACTCATTGTTTGTTCAGAGGGTGCTATTTAATTTGCATGTATTTATGAAGTTCTTGTGGTTTCTTTTGCCATTTGTTCCTGTTTCATTGCACTTTGGTCTGATAATGTGCATGCGATAATTTTGATTCTTTGGCATTTATTAAGCATATTCTATGAGCTAATATGTGGTCTGTTTTGTAGAATGTCCCATGTGTAGCTGAGAAGAATGTGTATTCTGATGCTGTGGGGTGGAATACTCTGTAGACATCTACTAAGTCCATTTGTTAAAAAGTTTGGTTCAGTTCTAATATTTCATTGTTAATTTTTTGTCTAGTTGATTTTTCTTGTGACAATCAGGTATTGAGATTCCCACAATATAATTGTTTTAGTGCTTATTTGATTTTTCATGCCTATTAATAATTTGTTTTATATAGTTGGGTGCACTGGTATTTCTTGGATATATATTTATAATTGTTATCTGAGCCTCTTGGGTTGTTCCCTTTACAGGGATATAGTGACCTTCTTTATCTCTCTTAATCAGTCTTGGCTTGAAATTCACTTTGTCTACAAATAGAATAGCTGCCCTGCTTTTTTCTGGGTTCCTGTTGCGTGGCGTATTGTTTTCCATTCTTTGATCTTTAGTCTATGAATTTATTTTTGAATTAAATGTGTTTCTTGTATACAGCATATTATTGGATCTTACTTCTTGATCCATTCTGCCGGTCTGTGTCTTTTGATGTAAATGGTTATAATTAACATTATAACCATTAACATTGATGATTATAACTGATATGTATTGACTTGTCCTTGTCATGTTACTTTCCTGTTGTTGGCTCCCCTTTTTTTCCCTTCCTCTGTTTAATTGTTTGCCTTGCCTGGTGGATCCCTTCTGTTGGGGTTCATGGAGTTGTAGTCCCTGTTAAGTCTTTCTAGAATGACCTTGAAAACATTTTGGAGTGCTGCTTTGGTGCTCATAAATTTCCTCAAATATTCTTTGTCATGGACATATCTTATTTCTCCATCAGTTTTGAAAGGGGTACATCAATCTGGGTTGAAGGTTGTTTTTTCCTGTAGAACTTGAAACGCTTTACTCCAAACTCCCCTTAACTGGAGGGTTTGTCCTGAGGAAGTCAGTTGTGATTCTGATG